TCCACTACACAAACATTTAAGATACGTTCATGGAGGATTAAACAGATATAACTACCTACTCCTGCAAAAATGTTTGGGCCAGGTAAACTTGCTTAGCTCCTAGTAATATAAACAGATAATACAATATCTGCCATAGTTATGATTAAAGAAATCCTAGAAAAGCTTGTTAATGGATAATCAACAATTATGTAAGAAAAGTGTGGTTGGCTGGAAAACAGCTGCTGATAAATATGACCCAGAAAAAGGGATCTCATGAATAAAGGCACGAGAGAGATGACTAGACCAGCTTCCAAAAAATTAAGAAGACTTTTCTCAGGTCACAAAAATAGATCACGATCTGCAACTCAAAAGTATAACCTACTAAGCAGCAAGCATTCATAGTATCCCTGTCTTCTCTTGCTAGTTTTGGAATAAGTCTAGCTTAGAATTCTATTTGAGATTTAAAAAAAAAAAAAGCAAAAAAGGAAGCAAACAACAAATATGAGGATTCAGGAGAAAAACAAAAATCTGGTAGTTTCTGTTCCAGATCAGTAATGGAAATAGAAAGAGATAACAGGACAATGTCATGAGGTCCTTAAAGGAGCTCGATTTTTATTTTTGTTTTATGAAAGCTGATCCTACCAGTTTGATGTTTGAAAAAATTTTAAGTATTATGACTCCAATTTTGATCAACTAGTAAAGTCAGTGTCACTCCACTCAGCAAGAAGCAAAAGCTAACGTCGTCAGGTAATAAGTCAGGTATTCGTTTTGAAAATAATTGGATTTTTATTCAAGAAAAGTACTCGTATATGAGCACAAGTCTGATCCTCACAACTTCATTCTCCTAAAATGGACCTGATTTTTCTCTCTCAGTAAACGACATAACCCTCCACCCAGCTACTCTAAACCAAGATGCCATCCTTGACTTCCTCATCCTCCCCCTTGTCCTCATGCCTGACCCACCAGAACTCTCACCAGCTCTACCTCTAGAATTCACCCCAACCTGCTGACTCTTTTCCATCTTCCTCACCAGCCTCCTATCCCAAGCTACCACCACCATCTCTCACTCAACTACTGCGATAACCCGCCTGCTGCTCCTGTTTCTACTTCTGTCCCTGCACTCTATTATTCAATGACCAGGCCGGGTAACCCACCTGTAATACAAAGCAAATATGTTCTTCCCCTGCATAAAGTCTCCCAAAAACTCTTAATTAAAACAAACCACAACAAAAATCCACATTCCTTCCATGGTTTTCAAGACCCTGTCTGTTATGGTGCCTGAGACCTTTCAGACCTCATCTCACTAAGCTTTAGTTGCACATAGGTCACACTGTGCTCCTACAAGGCCCTTTGTACTTACCCCATGAGCTGCCTGGAATGACTTTCCCTCTGACCTTGTCTCATGGGTCCCCAGAGTGGCTCCCATTGGCATGCATCCTACCCCATGCCATTAATTCTTTCATATTATTCAAGTTTTCCTTCATAGCACTTACTAGAATCTGATAAAAATTAATGAACTTATGTTTTTATTTATTTATTTATTTTATTTATTTTATTTTATTTTTTTAGTTGGAGTCTCACTCTGTCGCCCAGATTGGAGTGCAGTGGCCGCTCCCGGCCACCGCATTCTTGACCTGCTGGGCTCCAGAGATCCTTCCACCTCAGCCCTCCAAGTAGCCAGAATTACAGGCATGCACTACCACACCCAGTTGATTTTTTGATTTATTGTAGAGATGAGGTCTTGCTGCCCAGGCGGGTCTCGAACCCGCGGGCTCAGGCAATCCACTCACCTCAGCCTCCCAAAGGCGCGGGATTACAGGCTGAGCCACCGAGCCTGGCTTGTTCTTTTTTTTAAATATTTGTCTCTCCACAACTTGAGTTGGATACATATTTTAAGAGAACACATTCTTTTGTTCATGAATGTATCTCTCAAGCCTAAAACATGACCTGGCATGTGAAATGTATTTGGTAAACACTTGTAAAAGAATTAACAGAATCCCTCAAAGCCATTTTCATTTTTAAAAGTTCTTGAAATCTTAAACAAATTAAAACATGAAATATTTTCTATGCCAGCATCTTTCCTGGGGGTCTAGTGATTAGGATCCAGCATTCTCATATTTTCTATACCACTCTTATAAAGTAAAATCCCAGACCCTAAGAATGAGTAAAATAACATGGGGCTCAAATCAGAAGGGTCAACTGAAGTAGGTTAATCCATAAACTGCATCAGTAAGAGCCCCAAATCCAAAACCTTGAATGCTCTAACTACATGTGTAAGTGCAGAAGTGAGAAGGGAGAGGGGAGGAAAAGCAGACGCTGTTAGGGAAGGGAACAAACTGCCATCGGGGTAGGAGGAGGAGCAGCTATGAGCTTATTCCCACAGGGTGTTCTGTCTCAAAAGGCAACTGACCTCAAGAGAATTGTTGACTAGAAGTGCTCCCAACAGCTGTTTTCTGGAAGTCAGCAGAGAGACTCATTATCAGAAATTTCTCTCCCCGTACATTCTACCCTATCCCCCACTGACACCTCAGTCCTCATAACCCCCTGAATTGTTGTATCCTTACCCTCTCTGGGTTTTGAAGAAACTCCTTGACTATGTATCCAATAAATGTACAGTTCTGTTATTGAATTGCTATTTAAATACATGGAATAATGTTTTTTTAAGCAAACACCTTTCATGTCTTCTTGCTTTTCTATGCATTTTGGGAGTTTGGGAGAGGGAGAGGAGTGAGAAGAAAAATAGTTCAGGGTCAATGAATAAAGTAAGAAGAAAATGCAATCACATTAATTTGAAAGAAATACATTCCCCATTCTGAGAAAATTCCTTCATACAATATTAAGGGATTTTATTTATTTGCTGTTTGCTTTTCACTGTCTATGCCACAGCCAGTTGCCCTCCAAAACAAGACAGGAAGAGTTTCTCCAACACAAAGATAGAGAAAGGTGAGGTAAAAGAAACAGCCAGGAAGAAATAGAGGCGGGGTGCAGCAGCTTACGTCTGAAATCCCAGCACTTAGGGAGGCCAAGGTAAGAGGATTGTTTGAGCCCAGGAGTTCAAGACTAGCCAAGACAACATAGCGAGACTTCATCTCTACAAAAAATCAAAATCAAAAAATTAGCCAGGGATGGTGGCACATGCCTTTAGTCCCAGGTACTCGAGAGGCAGAAGCAGAAGGATCTCCTGAGCCCAGGAAGTCGAGGCTGCAATGAACATGGCCCTCCAGCCTGGGAGGCACAGTGAGACCCTGTCTCAACCAATCAATCAATAATATTACCCTACTCTTTTCAGTTCATTTCATTGTCACATTGATTAACTGACAAAACTTACTTCTGGACTTTAAGGGAAGAAATTGCTTAACTTGGGAATAGTTTTAATCAAAAGCAACTAATAGGCCCGGCTAGTATCTGCTTTAGCCTATGCTATATTTATGATGATTCCAATTTGCCAAACTGATATATTTTCTAGAACTCAGATCTACAACATTTACCCTACTATTGTTCTAGGGTTCTGTCTCTACAATAACACAGACCTCTCATAGAGGAGAAATGTAGGACAAAATTTAAATTATCCAATTCTTCCCACAGGAGGAAAAAAATCTACCTAGCAGTCACTAGCTGTCACATCTGTTTTTTTTGTTTGTTTGTTTTTTTTTTAGTTGCAGCAGGAAAAAGTGTAAATAGACAAATCTCAAGAAATAAGCTTCAGAAGTCACATCACAACCTGGGAAATTTCCTTTCAGATGGGAAGTACCAAGAAGATTGCAGAATATTTTGTGTGATATATTTTCCTGATACTGAAAGGAAATAAAGGAAGACTGTGCCAAGTCATAATGGGTAAAAAAGAGGGGAAAAAAAAAAAAGAAACCAAGCAAGTATAGGCACTCTATCATTTATTATCATATCCTGGCCTCAGCCAGGGCTCATTTTCATCGTCTTTTAAAACTGACAAGACGGTGCAGTTGGCAGCAACAAAACAAAGTAACTACTCCTTATGGGTGAAAACCCATTACCCTCAAATACAAATCCTGGGCTCTGCACAAGTGAGCCAACCTGTCCTCTAGTTTTCTTATGAGAATTTTATGTATGAGAATTCTCATATATCTGGGTTCTGGATGCATATCTGTCACAACCAGTGCTTCACATGTACCACAGACCTGAGAAAAATGAGTAATACTCTAGCTTGAAAATGATAATCCAGCTGTGCTGATATCCATTATGAATTTGAATACACCTTTTGAATTACTGTCCCACGGTATGAACACTCTTGGTGAATGGGAACCAGGGAAGGAATCAGACAGTGCTGCTTCATGTCAATACTTTGAACACAAATGAGTAAGAAACACACTGAAATAGCATTCTAGGGCCCATGGAAACCTGCAGCCCACTGGGAAGGACACCCATGCTTTACAGAGCTGCTTCCAAAGGAATGCCTGCGACCAGAAAGGTCAAAATACTGACTTACAGTCGCTTTAAATCATCACTGATTAGAGCAGGCTGGAGAACTATCGAGTGGTCATCTGTTAAGAAAAGGAGGGCTGGCAAATGTATATAACACAAGTTAAAAAAAAAAAAGCAGCCAGGCTCAGTGGCTCAGCCTGTAATCCCGCGCCTTTGGGAGGCTGAGGTGAGTGGATTGCCTGAGCCCGCGGGTTCGAGACCCGCCTGGGCAGCAAGACCTCATCTCTACAATAAATCAAAAAATCAACTGGGTGTGGTAGCGCATGCCTGTAATTCTGGCTACTTGGAGGGCTGAGGTGGAAGGATCTCTGGAGCCCAGCAGGCCGAGGCTGCGGTGGCCGGGAGCGGCCACTACACTCCAATCTGGACGACAGAGTGAGACTCCAACTCAAAAAAAAAAAAAAGCATGGAAACAGGCACACTGAGCTATTGAGTGGTGAAGGAAAGGAAAGCTTGCATTCCATGCTGTTTTTACATTTTAGGGTGACCGGGCAGCTACACATCACAGTTGCTATTTCGACGGCAAACCCTCCTCCCAGACAGAAGTGCATTCTCCTACTTACGTCAAACGGAGCAGAGCTTGATTGCGCGTTCTGGTGACACGGTTCCCTGAAGCAGTCACTAAAAGGAAGGAGAAGACCCATGGCGATGATCCGTGAGCAAAACTTCTCTGCTTCTTCTGGAGGCCCGTTTTCCTGCTGGCTGAACAACTTCTCCAGCAGAGTCCTCCCTGAGGATGAAACAGAGTCATTAGGAGGGAGCGCTGGAGGAGCACCTGGTTGGAAACTCTCCCAGAGGAGGGAGGCCTGGTAAACACTGCCAGCAAGCAACACTGCTGTTTCCAAGGCTACTCACCGTGCAAAAAGAAGCCTATCCAACTTAAGGAAGCTCTACAGTCTGACATTGGAGATGCCATAGGAAAGGGCAGATCTGGTTTGCTCTCTCATCCCCTCAGATACCTCCTGCCTCAAAAGAGAATGGGCCAAGTTATGAACTGGAGAGCTTTCATCTAAGAAGACCCCAACTCTTTTGGATTTTTTTTTTTTAGAGGCAGAGTCTCATTATGCTGCCCAGGCTGGTCTTGGACTCCCAGCCTCAAGCAATCCTACTCCCTCTGCCTCCCAAGTAGCTGGAACTACAGGCATCTGCCACTACAACTCCCAGTTCCGTTTTAGATTTAACCGGTAAATCCAAATGGGATTCAAATTTGGATCCAAAAGAGTAAGTCCTTTTGGATTTAATTGTGACTAGTTCTCTAAGGAAGCAGTTAACCCAACATGCCACCATTTGGGCTCAGAAATGTCCGCAACTGATATTCACAGTCTCAGGCATGGTGATGGGAAGGGGACAGGGAATGAAGAGACAGAGAATGAGAAGACAGGGAGGCAGGCAGAGGCACCAACTCATAAGAAGGAAAGAGAACTTTCCAGCAAAAAAGAAAAGTCACCCAGGAAAGAAAAAAAAAATGACAGAAACTCAAAATTTTCTCAGATGCTCCCAGGGTAGCTCCATAACCCTAGGATGGGCCAAACTTAGATTTTTTAAGTTATTTTCCTATTTAAAGTCATTTTCCTATTAAAAAAAAAAAAGCAGGCACAATGAGAAGATACTGGTCCTCCTAGTCCAGGGATTCTCAATCTTGGTTATACCTGAGGATCACCTGAGGAGGATAGAACTGTGGGAAGTGGCAACTAGCCATCAGTATTCTATTGGTCACCAGTTGGTTCTAATGTGAGTCAGGGTTGAGAGCCTTGGGTGTAGTCCCTAATCTGTTTCTGACACTACTGGCTCTCTAAACTCAGAAGTTTGTATATCTTGCTTCCACATTCATAAACTGTGGCAGAGGATACAGAAAATCTCTAGGGTCCCTTAGAAGGGACAACTAACTGTTCCTTAGTTCTTATCCGGCTGCTTCCTCTCCCTCTAATTAGCAGATTTTTTCTTTGAATTTAGATCAACATTTTATCCAGAAAAGCCTTCAGTGTGATCCCTTTTCCTACTCTTTTGGAACCTTTCAGAGCTCCTTTTGTGCAATTAATGGTTTTGCTTAATTGGTGGCACAATCACTTGTTTAGTGTCTTCCTCCCTCACTGAAACATAAATTTGCAAACGGCCAGCAAATGTCTTGCAAACCTAGCCACTTGCACAGAACTATACAATAAATACATTTTTAGGACTTCAGGAATGGATGCCATGTGATGATTCTGTGACAGATTCATTCACATCATGGTCAGAATTGGAAATGAAATATCCCTCTGTATTGTCAAACGTTTTCTGTAAAGGGCTAAATAGTAAACATGTTAGACTTTGTAAGGTCCCTGACGCATATTTTCCCCTGGTTTGGATTGGTTTTGAAAAACTTTGAAAATGTAAAAAATCATTTTTAGCTCAGGGCTGTGCAAAACCAGACCAAGACTCTACTTCGGTTACGACAAATACACTTCAAGTATATAGATGTTCAATTCTATCAGGATGCCAATCATGCCATTTCCATGCCACTTCCTATGTATGTCTGTAAAACAACACTAATCTCAAAGTCTGCCTCTGATATTTGGAGTGACAAAGCACAGCAAAAGAGGCCTTTCTATTTTCTCTATCCCCTTGGGCCACTAGAGAATCTTCTACAGTCTCTCAGGACTTTTTTTTAAGGAAAAATAAAGGATGTTTCCCCTATAGAACTTCAGTTTGTCTGCACCTAACTGGAACTGAATACCTAGGATGTGGCATCCCTCAATTCTCAAGTAATTAATTATCATAACAGCATACCCATTATACGCATCTTACAGAATGACTGGAAATAGCCCTAAAACGAACACATTCTTTCCTACCACTCAGATACTGTGTGTGACAGAGAATAAGAGGAATGGGATCTTGCCTGTTGGATGAGAGTAGATGTGTGTGTGCATATCAAGCAAAACATTATCAAAGGTTACAAAACAATGTGGAAGAGAGCGAAGTGTGACCCGCTGAAATGCCAGTTCTACAATAAGCCCTAAGTCCTTAATCCAGGGTTTCTCTGCCACAACACTATTAACATCTTGGGCCAGGTATTTCTGTATTAGGGGGCAGGGGGCCATCCTGGGCATTTAGCAGCATCCCTGGCTGCTAACACTAGATGCCAGGAGCACAAGCACCCCACGCCTAGTTGTAACAGCCAAAAATGTCTCCAGACATTGCTCAATGTCCTGAGGTGGGGGAAAGCAAAATAACCCAAGGTTGAGAATCCTTGACCTAATCTCTCTAAACGGAGCTTCACCTCCTTGCATTAACAATAACCTGCGCCTCTGGGAGGCTGAGGTGAGTGGATTGCCTGAGCCTGCGGGTTCGAGACCCGCCTGGGCAGGCGAGACCTCATCTCTACAATAAATCAAAAAAAAAGCTGGGCGTGGTAGCGCGCACCTGTAGTTCCAGCTACTTGGAAGGCTGAGGTGGAAGAATCACCGGAGCCCAGCAGGTCGAGGCTGCGGTGGCCAGGAGCGGCGGCTGCACTCCAGTCTGGGCGAGAGAGTGAGACTCCAACTCAAACAAACAAACAAAAAAACAACAACCTGGCTGCCCCTTGAGAATTTCCTTATCCTGCCGTCCTCGTCAAATCCCAAATATTTGAGGGACAAGAAACGGGAAAGTTCCTTGATCCTCACAGATACGTTCAAATGATTTATTATCCTTCAAAACCATAAGCTCCTTTAAGAACTCCTGCCCCTGGCTAGACTCCTACTACCTCCCTCTTTCCTGACACCCACTCACTTTCAGTCATACCCTCGCCCCACGATCCACGGAACAGTTCACCTCCTGACTCACTGTCCTACTTTCCACCTGACTCTTCTCATCATTCACAGTGATTCTGACGTCTGCACTGAGAGCAAACCAACACTCAAGTGGATACCTCACCTGAGACCAGGATTCCTTGCCCGCAGTCAGTATTTCCTCCTCCCTAAAATAGCGACACATTCTCGTGGCACATCCTCAAACTGGCCACTATCAGAAACTGTACCACCTCCAGGAAAATCTGTTTCAAAGCTTACTCCAAACACTACAGTGGCTTCCCACCGCCCTCAGAGTAAAATCAAACTCCTCACCGCAGTGCAGAAGGCCCCTCCCACCTCCCTCCACTCTTTCTCACTCCTCTCTTGTCCACCCTCCTCCTCCTCCTCCTCCTCCTCCAGGACGCTGAGCTCACTCTCACCTCAGAAGCTTTTGCACTAGGACACTCTTCCTCCCTCAGCTATTTCAGAGACTCCCTCACTCCTTCATCTCATTCAGGTCTCTGCTCAGTTGTCACTTCCACTGAGAAAACTTCTTGATGGCCCCTTCTAAAATAGCAGTCCCGTCACTCTTGCTTCTGTTATTCACCTTATTCTTCGGAGAGCTTAGCCCTTGAACTTAAATAAGTCTGTGGTCTGTCTCCTACTCATGGAGTGAAAACGCCATTCCAGCAGATCCTGCTGTTTGTTTACAACCTTTTACCCAAGAGAGCCTGGCAAAGAGTGGATGATCAATTAACGTCTTGATCATCAGTGAATCCATCTATGTACAAAAGCCTGGATAGAATAGCTCATTCCTGATCCCTAACATCTACCCTTTAAGTGCTTACTCTAGAACCCCTGCTAAAGCTCCACCTACCACACTGACCTTGAATCAGTTGTCCCTACTCCTGTTGTGCAATTCATCACCCTGCCCTGTCTCACCCTTCCTTCCTTCCAGGTCAAATTCCATGTTCTACCACTATAATGAATGACTTCACATGCTCAGCCACCTCATCCCTCTCTCCCTCCAGCACGCTTGCCTGGTAAAAACCACAGCTCTTTCAGTCTTGCCATCCACATTCTCTTTGCCCACATCTGAGCAACTGAACACTGTAATAGAAAGACACACATGTGTTGCCTGTCTTCAATTTACATTCACAGCTACACACATCAGTGAAGCCCAACACTGCTCGGCATTATCATCCAAACCTCTACTTTCAAATACAACGTTTACACAGTCTCCTCTCCTCCTGGAAGTATCTGAGGCAAAAACACAGATACACAAAAATGCCTACACTTGTTTTATTTGTCATCTTCCTCACGGTGGAAATCGGCCGTGTTACAGAGAGGAGGTTCTTTCCCTTGTGTTCTGGATCAATGTCTTGTTGCATGCTCAGGATAACACTTCTTCAGTCATTCCTTCTCTCTGCTGAAATATGAACACTTCCTTCTTTGCTGGACATTCACAGTATCACACAAAGATGCTCTAAGAATATATAGGCCAAGCACAGTGGCTCACACCTATAATCCCAGCATTTTTCTAGGCCAAAGTGGGAGGACTGCTTAGGGTTAGGAGTTTCAGGCCAACCTGGGCAACATAGTGAAGTTTCATCTCTACAAAAATAAAAATAAAAATTAGCTGAGGTGGAAGGATCACTTGAGTCCAGGAGGTTGAGGCTACGACAAGCTATGATGATGTCACTGCACTCCAGCCTGGGTGACAGAGTGAAACCCTGGCTTAAAAAAATAAATAAAACAAATAAGCCCTCCCTTGAGTCCACATCACTCCCCACTCCCAGCCACTGTCCCATTTCTTGGCTTCTCCTCACATCAAAACTATTAGCTGGAATTACCTATGCTTGCTGCCTCTGTCTCCTCATTCCTGGCTCAGCCTGTTCTAACTTGACTTTCATCCCCACAATGTCACAGAAACAGGCAGCCAACATGGTACTCTGATAGCATTTCTGTTTCCTTCACTGTTTAC